TTATCCTTGTACTACACACTTATATATCCCTATCTTACTTATTGTAATATTGTATGGTCTTCCACTTATGTAACCAACCTCAATAGAATTCTCCTTTTACAAAAACGAGCTGTACGTATTCTTACAAATTCCGAATATCGTACACACTCTGATCCACTTTTTAAACAACTCAAAATATTGGATATATTTAAGTTAAATACATTTCACATTGGCAAGTTTATGTTTTTATATCATCATTGCATGTTGCCAACATGCTTTGATAATCTGTTTACAATAAACAATCAAATACATGGTTATAACACCAGATCTGCTGGTAACTATAGATCTCATGCTTGTCGAACTAATAATATTAAGCAGTTCACCATCTTATACTCGGGACCGAATATTTGGAATTCTTTACCTACAAATATAACTGTGATAAACACAATCTCGTCTTTCAAGATGCAACTTCGTAATTTTCTGCTTGACGAATAAGGAACAGCCAACTCTGATATGCTATTACCATGTTTATCGAATATTCAGTAACAATATATAAAATTATTGGAAAATCTATTATATATTTTCGTAAATTTTCTCTCTTAACTTCATTATGTTTCAATTTCATTATATGTGTCTGTAACTTAATTTCAATTTCATATTATATATGTCTGTAACCTTAAATTATACTGGTAAATTAAATATTTAACTTTGAATTTTTGAGATGAGGTGGCCTCTTTACACAAGCTCTAAGCTTCTTGAGGTCTCCTCGCCGACTTTATTTTATTAATATTTTGTAAATAGCTAACAGTCTTTCTTTTTTTTTGGGCAAATAAACCAATAATAATAATAATATCCAAAACTGAAAGGTTTCAAAATTAGTCATTTGAATATTGCCAGCCTGGTCAAGGATGCATCAGAATTAAGGATTTTTATGCAAATTCAAACTTTCGACATATTAAGCATCAATGAAACAAGACTTGACAATACTATACACAACGACGAAGATAAGATGACATGTTACGATTTAATAAGGAAAAACAGAAATCATAACGGTGGAGGAGTTTCACTTTATGTAAGAAACACTATCCCGTATTCAGTAAATGTATTAGGACATCCGAAGGGGTTATTAGGGACGTTAACTTCCAATTTCCTCCGTGGGGGTGGTATGAATGCGTGGTATAATATGTGGTACCCTATCGAGTTAAGAAAGCTGGTATCGCCCATCCCTACAATTCAGACTATCATGATATTTTAACTATCTAAATCTGCGCATGCAGGCTGTCAAAGGCACAACCATATATTGATGACATCAAATATTGAAAACATTAACATCAGTTTGAAAAATATTTAATAGCATAAAATACAAATGGAAGTACTATAACATACATAACATATTTTTGTTCTAGTTTTTAATATTTTTGTTAAAAATACAAAAGTTCCATATCAATAAATAGTTAAAAACGGCTAAATGTTGCACAATATTACAAATATATAACATTATATTAACAAATTATCTTTTATATAAGTATAACTAGCTTGAAACAAGCTTTTATTGACAACACAGGCTATAGGTTTATAATGCACACTAACCCAATTTCCTAGCCTCAGCTGTAAACTTACATTGATTGATGGAATCACAACTAATTTGATGAACTGAATGACTGCAAAAGTCACATTTTGGCTGTTCACTTACCTTCGGTTGCCCACAATGACAAAACTGTGTAGCATCTTGCAGGGATGTATTTGTTCCTAGTAGTTGTGTATTTGGCTGAATCACAGCCATTCTCTCTAAGTCAAAGAAGGGAGATATATTCATGTATGAACACCTGCAAACAACGATTTGAGTGGTGAGTGTTACGTGCAAACTTAGCAAGCGAAACATGTTCCGCCTCTCGACCTTCCATACTATTCATACCGAGCCCATAGCCCAGTCGTTGTTTAGCTTGGTGTGTGTGAGTTGTAACAACATGACCGATGGTCCAAGTGGTTGGTGTGACAGATGCAAATAATGCACAAGCCGTAAAATACTTACCTGATACCTCTTTCAGCAATATAACCTCTTCATTAGTAACGTTAATTCTACTGAATAGAGAAACAGCATCCCTCAGGTTAACAGCAATAATTGCGAATATGTGGAATTTGAATAAATGAGTAGATTGATCATCATTTAGACTGAGAGAGTTAATGAGTTTTATGAAGTTGTTGCTCATTATTTTGGATTCCTTACCTGTAAATCTGTAAGAAAAATCTTTGTTTTGTAGGCGCCCATCACAAAACCACTTCCTGACCTTTTTGTGAAGTCTTGTGGCTTTTAAGACACATTTCAGAGCTTCATAGTACTGGTTAAAGCAGCATGAAAGAGAGGTATCACTAACATTCTCACAACCACTTAAATTGGTTCGAACTATGGCATATTTCAGAATCAATGCATGCCATTGTTGCCATGCATTATTCTTAAGGTGGAGTGGTTCAGCCTTTACTTGGTCAATCGCTTCACCCAGCAGAGGTGGAAATTCTGTTCGAGACCCTTTCTTGGCAATGAATGTTGTTACCTTATTTCTAAAAGTAGTCAGTTTCAGAGAGGAATGTGAAAGTTCTTGTTTCTTTTTTGCAACAGCTGATGCAACCTTGATCCTTGCTTGATAGGTCCAAGGCTTCCACTTATGTGAAGGCTCAACTCCGAAAGTAGATTTTGTATCACATATGTCAGCTTTTTTAACATTTGCGAAAGGTGAGAAATATGTTGCAGAAATTGAAAGCTCTCCAGCAAGAAAAGCTATGTATTTCGTGTCGTTTGGAAACATGTCAAAGGAGAAAGATACATTCCATAATTGACCATCAACCGAAACCGAGTATGTTTTCTTTTCGATTTCTTTGATGTCTTGCGATAGCTTTAGAACATAGCGTCTAATAGCTTCACAATCCTCTGAGCAATTTGCCCCAAGAAGAAGAAAGTTCTCATTGCGGCTAGAAATTCTATGACCGCAATTAAGAAAACTTACCAACCAAGCCAATGCCGAGTCATCCTTACCAAAGGGGGCACCGTCACCCCCAATGGCAACATTGAAGTGACCTGCTTGCTTATTGTTATACCAAATAAGCTTATCAAGTCTGTGTTCATTGACTTTCAAGTAAAACTGGGCCAACCTTAAAAGCAACTCGGTTAAATCCCTGTACTTACCTTCTACATTGTCATCATTGCCTAGACCGGTACAAAACTGTTCGTTGAGGTCATACAAATTACCTATATCTATGCCCTTGATCTTATACATCAATTCCTTGTACGAAAGTATGCGTGGAACATTACAGTTTGACACAAATTCTGTGTGCGAATTATTCATGCTTAATGCTGACCTAATGCTAATGTATTTCTCCTTGCTTACAAGGCCATTCCTTTAAAGCACGTTTACGCTTCTAACAAAATTGGTTTTAAAATTTTCTAAAGCCTTGACCTTTCATTTACAACATTAGGAATAACTTTTGTCATTACAGTAGGTGATTTGTAAAACATATCAGTTAGTGTGCTAGCTGCAGCCCCATTAGATAGGGTTGCAAAAAGACCAAAGTAAGCAGGTTGCATATTACTTGAAGTTTCTCCGTGGACTTTCATTGCTACTTCACTGGTTTCTTGTATCTTTCTTCTGGCCGTTCTCTCAGGACCATTTATATTTCCTTTTTCGTTGAGAGCGGTAGGAGACTGTAATCGTTCTTCAGTGAAAGACAAAGTGAAGAATCCTTTTTCTGAGTTCCTTTTCTAAAATGTGTAATATAACAGACATTTTGGAAAACAAATATTGTACAGCCCCTAGCCTGGGGAAAATACTTTGAATAATTATATACTGTAGCAAATTGTTTATCTAAATTCAGTAACAATTGCAGCAGTCAGCCATTATTGGACTACCCACCTCCCTTAAAGCATGCAGCAGTAGAGTGGGCAAAGGGGGTTTCTCCAAAAGATTGCTGTCTAATTAACAAATACAGTGTAGCAGGATGGTTAGAGGAAGGCTGGTTAATATTGTACTCTCAATATTACATAAAGTGTTGGTTACACCCACACTGTGGACACACATTGCCATGAAAATAAGGCCCAGGCCAGGGCCGAAAGTATTTACATTTCCACAAGCCTAGTCCAACGGTTGTAGTAGGCCCAGATTTCCTTGCCTAGGTCAGGCCAAGGCTAGGTCAAAATCTGTTTACACAGTCAAAATGTAGGCCAAAGCCAGGCCAAGGCTAGGCCAAGACTGTTAGTGTCAACACGACTAAAGACAATGCCGAGATGAAGTCAGTTAAATGCTTCACATCATATCAAGCATGCTAAGAAGGCAAAGGTTGAAAGGTCCCGCCTAGCCTTATATTTCTGATTTCGCGTCCCAGCTAGGCAGATTGGAGGGTTTATATGGGAATTTCTCATCCCGTCTAGTGGGGATCTCAGCATTTGGGGATAGAAGCCGGATCATATAAACACTGAGTGGGATTTATAATGCCGGGATCATGTCTGTAACACATTTAATCCAATGCAAATAAATACCTTTTTTATTCTCTCTTGAATATCTTCATCTGCATTTCTCACCTATGCAACACAAAAGCAATACTATTAGTCTTTGAAAACAATACCTACACATGAGACTTCAAGTACTGGAAAGCAACAATTTAATAGTTTGTTGACTCACTTTACTTTGAAAAACGTTTCAATTTTGCTTGCTTCCCTTTAAGCTTTTTGTTTTCAGCCACTAGTTTTTGTGTGAGCTCTTCTTGTTTCTTTTTCAGTTCAGTCGTATATTTACCGACTGGAAATCTTGTATAATGTTGACGTTTATTTGGCGGCATTTTCCAACACTTTAATACAACAACATGGAACAGTTCCAAAGTAAAAGTCTGAAATGTCACATTAACTTTTTTGGGAAATTTTACGCGGTAAAGTGTAAAGTACCCGTATTTTGAATTGAAAATTACAGAGCGAATAAGACATATCGAACAATTTGGGCAAGAACAAAACTTTACACTGTAATCACAGTTTGCCAAAATATAGACATTTCCCAAGATTAATCGTCAAGCAATCAGCCTATTGAAACCAAAATATTACACAATACATGTTCCAGAAAAGCATGTTTACCAGCATCAGAAAAAACAGTGCAGAAAACGTGTATTTTAACGCCAAAAATTGATAACTTTGGTATTAATTGAAAGCTTGAAGGGCGATCTTTAGGAATTTATTAAAATCCAACGTCTCCTAGCAATGAGACACACCGGAAGACAGTGCCAAAAACTATTTCCCAGCCTAATTACGGCCGATCTCTCAACTAAATATGGCGTAATGGAAATTTTTGCCACACTTCCTTGGCCGGAAACACCAACAAAAATTCCCAGCGTGTTTTGGAAGAAAAAAAGAATGAAAAAGTTCACTGCAAGGAAGAACCAAAGACAGCAATGCATCAAATCGTAGTTAGTTTTAGTTGTTAGCGATACCATATTAAACTAGATGACATTCAGAGTGTACGTGCGCTGCAAATTAAGTGAATTGTACAACATAAGTCATGCAAGATTTCAACGAACGGTGACCTTCTTGTTTACATGTTAACACGTCAACAAGACACGTAAGCACTAATCTGTCCAACGTGGTTTAAACTTCGAGAAGCCTTGCTGCAGGCTTTGGCAACATGGATGTCCTTAGACATGTGCATATAGAACCATGTTCTAAGATTATTGACTGTATTTACAGGAGAGGCGCTCACGTCACACTCGTAGTTTATGTATAAATCCTCTCTCCTGGGCAGAGGCTTTATATGGCTATGATTTTTATAAACAACGTGTCCATCTACACTATAAAACAATGCATGAAAACAACGTATTTAGCGAACAGATTTTGGTAGAAGGCGATGCTTTGATTCGCCAATATGCAGGGAAGAAACGTGTACATATTAGGCAGAGAAATTTATATTTGTAGTTTTAGAAATGTGTCCAAAAAAGGCAAATAAGAAAAAAATAACTATGTAGCATACATAACCATTATTAAATTTGCTATCAAAGCTGAAAATATCATTTCAAGTATTTCAATTTAGCAATATTTACGAATGCGTGACCTTGTCTAGATTTCATTCCGAAATAACCTGAAGTTCTGGCCCCAATTTTAAATAGGGCCTGACACAATACCTGTCTAAACTGTGGGATTTCCGTTAATCTGGTGGACGGAAAATCTGATTGCTTGATCAGCAGCATTAAAGATTTTGATTGGTTGCAATTTCACAT